TCGTTTTTCCGATGTCTGCCTCGCCTTTGCTAAAAACATCACTGAATTCCATCACTAGCTGTCTTAATGAGGTCTTTCCCGTTTTTGAGAGGACTGCCGACTCTAGCTTGAGCTCCTTCACGAGTTCATCGATCGTCCCCTCGTCGACTGCGGCTGAAGCAGCCGATGTGTCGGGAACGTCGTACATACCTCTCCCATTCTCTTGGATTGAGTACAGAAGTCCTATCTCTGTACCTGGAGGGATCGTGACTGCCTGGCTACCGATGTTTGCGATTTGAACCGGGACCTTGGCTTCGCTCGTCACCGCAGTAACCACGCGGGGGATTCTCCATTCCTGCTCGTTCCCTACGGGCTGTGGCTCGAGCACGCCTTGCCAACTGACTTCCCTGGTGACTTTGACACCACCGTCAGGAATCTCGACGTCGACCTGAACGAGCGTCTGAGACTTTGCCGGTATTGTAACGGGCGAGCATGTTAGCACCCTGGCACGCTGGGGTCGCAGCTCAGCGTATGTTGGGAGGGGAATCTCAAGGCTGCTCACCCTGAAGACCCCTGCCTTGTCATCCAGCACTGTTTTGTGTTGGCAGCAGAAGTCTCGGCCGAGAACGACCTGATAAATCAAGCCTGGAATGACCAACATGGGCTGGATGAACTGCAGAGTCTGTATTGAAAAGGACACTTCTGCTTGTGTGTTGACCTGTATTTTCTGTCCACCCGCCTGCGTTATTGTTCCAAAATATCCTTTGTGTGACACTTCTTTCGGTACAGCTGCTTGAGCGAATTCTTGTCCGATCATTGACGCATCGGCTCCGGAATCTACGAGGGCCCATACACTGCGTCCTTCGACTTCGATTTTGATCACTGAAGCGCGTTTGGGGCTTGCTTCCTGACCAGGTACTGCTGCAGTGTTCCCAACAGCGCCAGAATTATCGCGTGCGGGGCTCGAGGGAGCGATGCCCCCTGCCGCGACTGGCGTTCTCCAGCATTCGTGAAGCGCGTGGCCGTGCCTTCCGCAACCCTGGCAGGGAATACCGGGCGGAATCGCGCTCGGTGCTACGGACCGTGTTGTCCGTTTCTGTCGGTTTGAAAACCGCGGACAATCGCGTTTGAAATGGGCGGTATCGCCACACAGGTAACAAACGCCTCGTTTACTGTCGGTTGGTTTGCAGTGCTCGGTCACCTGGACTTTCATTTCATTCAACTCACTCCGGAGTTCTCCAAGGATGGTCAGAATATCTGGTGCCTGTCCACCCTCAATGGGTTGCGTTTCTTTAGCCGATATTGCCACCGCCGTGTCATGACCAGCGGACGCCCGCATAACGGCGAGAGTGAGGTCCTTTTCCCAAAGTCTCTGGACGACTTCCTCCGCTTTTTGAAGCGACAGCACAGTGTGATCATTGTGCAGCTTCTCTTGAAGCTTAAGATCGCTCAGACCACACAGGAAGTGATCTAGCGCTATATGATCCACCTGTTCACTGGGTAACCCCGGGTGTGCCAGGCTTGTGAGTTTTCGTACGCGATCAGCGAATGATTCTATATTCTCTTCAGGCAGTTGACGGATAAAACGCAACTTAGCCCGGGCCCGTCGCGTGTCGCAGCTAGATCCAAATTTATTTTGTAGGGCCCCCTTAAGTTCCTTGTAGTCGCTCCTGGCTCCTTTGTCCAAGTTCCCACAAATGTCCAAAGCAGCACCATCCAGCAAGTCGAGCAGGGCAGTTGCTAGTTTTGTCTTCTCCAAGTCACCAAAACGCGTCTCAAAACGGAAAATCCACGTTTCCCAATTTTCCTCCTCGCGACCGCTAAATTTTGTTGTGCTGTGAATTTTTGAGTACAGTTCGTTCGACATTTTGGGCAGTGTATGAACGACGACTAATAAATATGATCGTATCGTCTAACGATACGGTATGCAATGACCAAACCGGTAATTTGAAAATCGTGTCGTAAAACGACTACGCTATATATGCCCTATCATCGTATCGACCAACGATACGTTATGCAATAACAAAACCAGATAATTTGAAAAAAAACGTGTCGTAAACGACCACGCTATCTGTGCCTAATGAGTTGCAAACGCTGCCAGTGCCTCAGCGTGATTTGATATACACCAACTATAATCGACCGGAAATCAGCAAAAGCCGTGTCAAAAACGACTGCAACTTTCCCAAATTTCAGGTCGTAGGTTTAAGGCTCATGTATCGTGAATCGATAACATAGGAGCTGCTAAAACGGTTACCGTTTAACCGAACATCACTTAAATGTAGGGAGCGTAAATGAGCTTACCTTGACCGCGCCAATGTTAGGCCACAGGCAGCGTATCCATCAGTCGTGTATTGGTGCTCAATACAGGCATTGCACCAGCAGCAGCAGCACCAGCGGCAGCACCCGCGCGTGGCGGCTCCCAGGTCCAGAATGACCGCCGCCCCCGGCTGCGGCCGTGACCCCGCGCCGCCGGTGGCAGCGGCGCGCCCAGCGGGAGGCGGTCCGCAGTGGCGCGCCCAGCAGCGCGCCGAGAGGTGGCACCGGGCACACAGTGCACTGACACATCCTAACATAGCCTTTAGGTCTCTGATGCTCTACACACAGAGATCAAATGCAAGTTTCTCAGAATTCCACCAATTTATCAGGGTTACACATAAAACTTTGAAGGCCCTGAGCATCACCCAGCTTCTGAGGGCCTTACAAGGGACACTGGCTGGCCCTTTAGGGGCTAGAAGGTGATCCTGAAGGCTCAAAGCTGGCTTCATTCCTTTACTGGTCCCTAAGGGCCCCATGCTAATTTGAGAGACCTATTCTGACTTAATTGTCTAACATCACCATCAGCTTCTGACAGCCCCACACCAGTTTCTTAAGAGCCCTGTTGGCCTCTGAGGGCCTCTAGAATCTCCAAGCCAGCTTGTGTGGGCTTCTAGATGACTTCTAAGGCTCCATGCCAGAAGCCAGTGAAGATGCATGAGCTCTCTGAGAGCCCCTATGCAGGCCTGCCAGTCTGAGGGCTCCACACCAGCTTCTGAGGGCTCCCATGGTCCATGGAACTCCCAAAGAGTCACATGTTAACCTCTGAGGGCCCAATGCAGGTTCAGGAAGCCTGAGGATGGGCCTATGCTGATCCCTAGAAGCTTTTCCAACCTTTCAGGGGCCCGATTTCTCTGAGGTTCCCATGCCACTGGGAGAGCCCCGAAACAGTGCTCTTAGCCTTTCTGAGAAGCCAGTGGGCCCCTGGGACTTTTGGAAGGGCTTCTAGGTACTTCGAGCCAGTCTCGAGTGAAATAATGCTATCACATCGACTGCTAGGGGACTTCAGCAGGTCTGAGAGTTAATGCTAGCATCTGAAGGAGTCACGGAGGATTCTTAGGGCCTGCATGTGCCTCCAATGGTCCTCTTACGGGCTTTTGTGAGTCCCGTGCTGATTTAGCTCCATACCTGCATTCCACGCCGTTCTGTGGGTTCGATACCGATATGAGGGGCGTCTGAGGGTTCCCACTGGTTTGTAAGGGCAGTCCATACAGGGTTCTGGCTCCTGAAGGCCCAGCTGGTCTCTCAGTCTCCGTGGGCCCTACACCGAGCTCCGTAAGCTTTACACTGGTCTCTAAGAGCTCCCACCGGCTTTTGAGGTGTAATGCACCTGCCTCTTAGGCTCTTGCTTTATCTAGATATTGTCAGAGAGCTACGCCCATTAGGCAAGACCTGTCCGATATTTTATGTCAAACTCTTAGTTTGAGAGACCCACGATGGGCTTACGCCGGTGTTTTGTGTCCCATGTCTATAAGAACAATTGGAATCGGCCTTTCAGACACTCCTTGAAAGGTTCGATGCTTAGGTTTTGCATTGAGGGCCTTGTATGACGTCTAAGATGGCTTGAAGTCATCGGCGTTTTTCGTCTTCGTCTAACTCTCGATCAAAATGATCGTAGGCAGCGAGTGGGGAAAGCCACCATCGAACTCATTCGGTCAGCTTCGTGACCTGTCCTGAATAGCTTTAAACTGACCTTGACCTGAGGTAATTGGCCTAAGTTGACCTCACCCGAACAAAATGTTTATCATTCGAGGGGCTTGAGGATAACAAGCACGATGGTGCCCGTGCCGAGACTTCGGCGCTGGTCATTTGTTGACCTTTCTAGCCAAGTCAATGACCCAAATGTCGGGAAAATCAGGACCTGATGGAATGTCCTTGTGAAGTTGTTAAGAGAGTTTTCAGGGTCCTGATTTCGAATTTCACATAATGTTTGATCAAAGATGATGTTCCTATTCATGGTGCAGGTGATGCACTTGTAGCCAGCATACTTTATACATCTCTCCCTTGAGAGTCACCGACATTGAACATCCGTAGCATGTTTTCTCACAATCCATTCCGCCCCAGCCGACCCTGATTCTCCGTCTCGCTGTTCCTGCCCCATGTCCGCCGCTATCGGGGTGTATTTCCGTCCAGTCAGCGTGACGGGTAAAAACTGACCGAGACTGTGACGTCACTGGACGGCCGGCCGCGCTGTGCGCCGGCCACCGGTTCCGGTTCCGCTGACGACATTCGGCCCGGAACAGCGCGCGACTGGGAGACGGAATAGGCCGGGGACGGACCGTCGGCGCAGTAGCTCCGCAGCACCGCGCGGGTCAGGTCGACCGTCTGCCCTTCGTGCCGTGTGTTATCGCCAGCGGTCGGAACCGGGTGTCGGGACGAGCTTATTGGTGGTGAGCGTTGTCGCTGTTTCACTCTGCCATTTGCCACTGTGGTCGTGTAAAAGTGTGCCCGGATGGTAAGGATTGCGGTTCGTAGCCACATATGGGGTCGCATCCTCCCCCAATTTGTTTCGCTGATGACCCGTCTGTAACTCTGTAGGTCCCATTCTTTGCGTGCTGCTCTGTCCGTCTGTCTCCGCAGACCCTCTCCGCCCCGAATGTTGGTCGTCTCGCTGACCCTCCCCGTCCATCTATCGGCCGCCGCAGACCCTCCCCATTCGTCCGTCGGTCCCCGCTGACCCCCCCCCCCCCGCCCCCGTCTGTTGGCAGAATCTCGGGACGTGCACGATGCCTCTGTACGAGCCGACGGCAGCCACGCAGCGTGCCACGTTCGGCATGTCGTGATTCTGGTTCCCGGAGGCGCAGTTTGGCTGCGCCCCCGGGGTAGTGCGCACCCGAGTCGGCTACTCGGGCGGCACCAAACGCTGCCCGAGCTACTACGACCTGTGAGTCGCCGCAGGGGACGCAGAGGATTGGCACTGGGGGGCGTGCGGGATGTGGGAGGTGGGAAGTTTTGTAACTCATTGCTTAGATAGTATTTTTCAAAGAAGCATTGGATAGCTAACCACTCTTTCGTTGGTCTGTCGCGGTCGGTTCCTGTGATTTTTGCTGCATCTACGAGCAGTTGCTCTAGCTGGCGTGTGCCGCTGATGTGCATATGAACGGTCTGGTGACGGCGCCTTCCCCCTTGTCTTGGCCAGTGGTGATCACACGGAGACGACCGACATCGAGTTCGATCCGCAGCAGACCAGCTACGAGGCGCTGCTGGGCATGTTCTGGCGCAACCACGACTGCACAGCGCGCTGCAGCCGGCAGGTGAGGTCGGGCGGGCTGAGGCGGGCTGAGGGGCGCTGCTCGGCGGCCGGTCAGCAGCAACCACGACTGCACGGCGCGCTGCAGCCGGCAGGTGAGGTCGGGCGGGCTGAGGGGGGCCGAGGGGCGCTGCTCGGCGGCCGGTCAGCGCTGCTCGGACGCTGACTGGTGTCTCTCTGGGGACGGGCGGGTGGATGTAATCGTGAATACTTCCTCTGAAGGGTGATGAAATAGGAAGTGGCATACTCTGCGGCTTTTTATGGCTGGATGAAGTGTTTAGTGTGTATAAATATGATGAAGGATAGATGTGGCTTTGTTAATTTTTGTATAAATGAATCCATCTTTTTTGGTTGGTATCTGCCCTTGTCAGACTTTTTGTTCGGGTTGTTGGAGAATCACCTTGGTACCCTGTTTTTACATGCCGTGACTGTTGTTCCTTTGTGTTAACATGTTAATACGCTGGGTGTGTGACTATCTATCGCTGTGTCCCGCACTCGCAGTACATGTCGGCCATTTTCTACCATGACGAGGAGCAGAAGGCGCTGGCCGAGCGGACCATGAAGGAGCAGGCTTCCCGGCAGACCAAGAACATCACCACTAAAATCCTGCCGGCCGGGGAGTTCACAGAGGCAGAGGAGTGAGTAGTGCAGAGGAGGGGAGGGAGTAGTGCAGAGGAGGAGCGAGTAGTCACGGAGTCAGACTGTCAGGGGAGCGAGTAGTCATGGAGTCAGTGAGAGGAGTAAGTAGTCACGGAGTCGGAGGAGTGAGTAGTGCAGAGGACAGGAGCGAGTAGTCCGAAGCGGGACGGCTGGCGCGCTAACCCGTTGTTTGATCTGTCATTGTGAAGTGGGCTGGTGACACATTTACTGCTGCTGTGCAGTACCCCCCCCCCCCCCGCCGCCGGGTTTTTGTGCGGTGTTACAATAACACACTCGGTTCTAGCCCACCGCACTGCTGTAGGGGCGCCTACGAGCGAGCGCGGCTCACCTCCGTTCAGGAGAGCGCAGTGCGGCAGCGAAGTTACAGCTGTTTACTAATGCGAAAATAAAGGGCAAATGTGGAATGTTAAAAGAACCAAGCGAGGTGCTACAGTTTGACAGCTATAAACCGGGACTTCGTTTTCCGAACAACACAGAGATAATCGGTTTTATCGACTGTGTTCACAAAAGTAAAGCGATGCGTGGAAAAAGGCGGAGCTGTTCCAATTAAAAATTTGACTGTTAGGGGCTACATCGGCTGTACGATGGACCCCTTGTGACGTCAGACGGGGGTAAAGTGCTGTGTTATTTGTTATTCATTTTTCACGACCCTACAGTTTGGCAGCATCCCGTCTTATTATTCAGACTTCATGTTTAGGTGTGACACGGAACATTTGGACGTTTTTCAGACGGATTGTGATGCAAATCCTTCACAAAAGCCGTCTTCATGCGTATTTCTCTGCTCATTGCTCAATGTTCATGAATCTGCGGCGTGTCACTTCAGCCTCCCCCACCAGCAGCTGGTCGCTGTGTTTACGTGTCGCTGAGCTGACCTCCCCGATAACCACACACTGCGCTGTTCTGACGCCGCCGTGTGCTGTGCTGACGCCGCCGTGTGCCGCCAGCTACCATCAAAAGTACCTGCTGCAGAAGCACGGCGCGCTGCTCTCCTCCCTGGACATCGAGCCCGGTGACGACCTCATCAAGTCACACGTGGCCGCCAGACTCAACGGGTCAGTATTATAGGGGAGGGGAGTCAGACTCAACGGGTCAGTACAGGGTCAGGGGGGGGGTCTAGACTCAACAGGTCAGTACAGGGACAGGGGGCTAGACTCAATGGGTCAGTACAGGGGAGGGGAGTCAGACTCAACAGTCAACGGATCAGGATAGGCCACAGTATAGGCCATAGGGGATGGAGTCAGACTCAACAGTCAACGGGTCAGTATAGGGGAGGGGAGTCAGACTCAACGGGTCAGTGCAGGACAGGGGAGGGACGGGTCAGCGGGGTGAAGGGGGGAACAACAGTCTCAATGCGTTATTTGGGCGCGAGTGTTTTATGCGCTGTTATCGCGGTGGCGTATCATTGGCTTACTTTAAAAAAAAAACGTCAAAGAAGAATTTGTTGACGAAGCATTGCAAATATTAATGAAGTTTTTTTTGGCACATACATTAAGTTTTTCTGGACATAAAATTAGTTGTGGGAAAGTTTTACTTTCATGATAAAAGATGCCGTGTTTTTCTTCCAAATAAGTTATGCCGATTTAAGCAAACCTTCGTGTTTTACCTTTTTTAGAGCAAGTGAATCGCTGCTTTATTTTGAATGGCATGATTATGTTGCGGGTACTATCAAGTCATAGCGTCTAAAAATCATTCTATTTTTCCACGTTTGTTCCACACCACTTTGACCGCTGCCCCCTGTGTCCTCTAGCTATGTGGGCGGCTACGGCAAGCTGCAGGACTTTGACGCCGAGTGGGAGCGACTAGGGCTCAACAATCAGATGGCCGAGTACGTGCGTAATATAATTCGCACGCAGCGCCGGTAGGGGCGCCCCGCGAGCCCGGGGACCGGCGCGGAGCGACACGGGCCGCGGCCGGCACAGGCGGAGAGCCCCGCCGGGCGGACCGCGGCGCGCGCGGCGTATGACGGCGGCTGCTGGAACCCGAGCTTCGGGAGGCGGCCGTCAGAGGGTACTGCGCGCGCCGCGGCCGCCCGACGGACTCGCCAGCCTGGTCCGGCCGCGGCCCGAACTGCTCCATGTCTATGGTCTGCTGTCGGAGGACGCTGGAAACTCCGTGGAGGCTAGATGGCGTCGCAAAATAAATGTATGCCTATTGCGCGATGCTAGTTCACATAATTATGTTTACTGAGTTCGGAGATTCAAATAGTCTGTAGTGGTTCACCGACGGTTGTGATAATGCAGGAGTTTTCAGTACGCCCCGGATTGGTGAATATGACAATAATTGTCGCTATCAGGTGATCCACTCTGGAAATGATATTGCCGCACGTGACACACGATACTAGTTTACAAATATACCGTATAGAATGTTACATGTCTTTCCTCAAACATTTCAGTCTGCATTGGCATTAGCGTTAGTGAATAGTAAAAGTTGAGACAGCTCGTCAATGTCAACGGAACATTTTCTTCTCTTTTTTTTTCTTTTGGTCATTGCGAAAGATGCTACTACAAGTAAGTTCGAACTACTGTGCTGTATACAAGTACTGTAAGTTCGAAAAGTTGCAATGAAACATGAGCATTGAGCTCTGCAGGTCAAAATAACCTAGCCCACCTCGCCGAGTGTTGCTGTGATGCTGGTGGCAGTCTTTAAAGCATATGCAATGCACCGTGCGCAGTACACGTAAAAGTCGTTTCATGATTCTTATGCACGTCCTAAACGGCAGTGGGTATTCCTATTCGTTGTCTGGAACGAACGGGCTAATCGACGGAGAATAAGACGGGTGGGTATCGACATTAAAAACAGAAAAACGTTTCAAATGGACTGACTGAAAAACTACACCCCTTGGTCGCCGAACTCTTCGGTGCTTCTTGCGTTTCCATCACCGGGTTGCGATGCAGCCTGTCTTGCGATGCTGCGAAACTGTGCGAGTTTCAGCTGTCAGCTGTCACAGCTCGCATTCCTGCATCACAGATGCCGGAACATTGAGCTGTCTGTCCCGAACTAAATGCTGCCCTCTTTTACTATCAGGCACGCCACTGCTGGGCGTTCAAAAGTCCGGGCACTTACGGGACACGGCGACACATACTTCTGCTTCATACACTGGCACAGCTTCAGTGCTGCACAAATTATCTTAAGATGTCTGCTGTATTCCTTAGGTAGAGCATCAGCGGCCTCAGAGATGCATGAGCATGCCACAACTGCTGAAAACCGGTTGCCCTTTTCACGAGGCATGACGATGGGGGGCAAAACAACACTCGTACCTGCTAACTATGCAGTGCAATAGCTACATTTCATCTGAAACGAGTGCAATGGGGTCAATTCAGCACCTCCTTAAATTGAACCAATAGTTTTACTAAAAAAAGAAATCCTAGGGCGTTGCATGCAACATGTTGACGGAAACTGTGCTGTGCTTGAGCCTGGCAAGTGGCAGGCGACATTATCTAGGTTACACAGTATAGTCGACTACAGAATGATGTTCTACTTTTCACAGGCAATTATTTGCCTGGAGTGGTAGGCTGTGCCGCATCACACGGGCTGAGTTCACAAATTATAGCATTGTCCCAACCAATGCTCACAATCGACACGCTTAATTGCGTGATAGACGGCACAACTATAGCGCTCCGGTCAACCGATAGCTTCTGAGGAGTGGAACATCATTCTGTAGTCGACTATGCATACCCACACACACCGATACGCTTTGTACAGTATTGCGGCACAGCCTACTCTCAGGCGCTTACTGGTGGTGCCATCTAGGAACAATAAAATCCTCTATATGTCCGCGGCTGGCAAAACACCAATATGGGCGATAATTAAACATTCTATCATGAAAACCGCAGTGGTAAACTTGAAAACAATCTCAAACAAGCGGCTAACGTGTGCATGTGAAGAATGTGAAGGACTTTTCCGTGTAATCGCACAGCATTTTCAGTCTCCCAAGTACGCTGGACCCGTGCAAATATTTACTCAACCGCTCACCTTCAGTGAAGTGCTAGCTAGTTCCTGGTCAGTTAACCGCTTCCCGCTCAGCGGGGTCGACTACTCTGATTTCATCGTAAACAATAGCATGTTGCATGCTAAAATAATTTACATATACGAGTAAAAATATGTATATGTATAATCGTTAAACACGAACGTCCGGGGCAAAATATTTTACCCTTCCATCATATCCTTCCTCGTCGCTCTCAGGACCAGCCCATCCTCATTCCTTATTCTCGACCGTTCAGACATGCTGACACGAGGCGACGGTCACCATGTTCTCGGTTTAGCTGGGAGAAATGTTCAGCGTATACGTACGGTGCACCGGTCAGCGGAGGCGTCTGTGTACTGTACCGCGATCGACACCGCGCCGGGGCGGCCGCAGAGGCACCCCGCCAGTCACGAGCGCCCGGCCCGGCCGGCCACAGCATGGGATGCATGAGGCGGCGACTCCGCCCGAGCGAGCGCCGTCGTTTGCATAGATGCCATCGGCGGTTCGTGCTGCATGCATCAGTCCCTGGCAGGCCAGTCCGCTGCAGTAAACAATGGGCGGCTTCAGCCTTCAGGCGGACACTGTCGAAATTATGTCTGCATTGCTTTTTTACAAAAAGAAATAGTCCTCCCATCATGGCAGTCTGCAGCAAATGTTTCCGTTAAAAAATCAAAAACTCTTTGTTTCGCTGTTGCATCGGCCTAGCAGTCAGCAGACAGCTGCAATACAGTCAGCAGACAGCTGCAATAGAGGCAACATAATCCACAAAGATATTATGTTATCAAAGTCACAATATGTGTGTTTTAGCGAGATTCAATGTTGCGTTATTTACGTTGGCGAAACCGTATTTGATGTTTCATTTTTTGGGAGCGCACATGACTGTGGGATCCACAAATAGGTTCATTTGATTTACAATGCCCCACTTTTCCGCACGTGTCTGCTGTGCATGCCGTGGGGTCATTGCAAAACACCGTGTATCGCCTAGTGTTCCATCAGTGGCGCATGCGGCAGCGGCGGCCACTCACCATTCCGGGAGGGTCGGGTCGGTGTGCCGCGGCCCCTCAGCCGTCAGTCACCGCGCTCCGGGCGCGTCAGATACGGCCGGACGTGCTCCGCGCCAGCCCCGCCCGCCGTATACGATCGGTAGTACCATGGAAATGCGTGGTCCGCTCGTGGTGATCGCCGCTGGATAGCGGGGGCCCGCCGCCGGCCTCTGGGGGCTCGACAGGTCGGCCGGGGGCGCGGCCGGCCACTGGCCCCAGACAGACCCGATAGCAGGCGCATGACTGTGCATGGGATGGAAATGACGCCGCGCGGCCGATCGGGCGGGCAGACAGCGGCCATTTGCGAGACCGGTTGTAGCCAGCATTTGAATAAAACAACATAGTTTGGTATGCAGTCGTTACACGTTCATTTCACTGATGTGAAACAGTTCGACACGTGCACTCAGCACATCGCGGCTCAGTAGCTCCGGCGCGAGCTGTCACTATTTAACACGACAGCCGACCGCCGAGCTGTCGTTCGCTCGCCACACCACTCACCAGTGACTGCAGCACTCGTGAAACCGGTGAATTGTGTTACGGCATCTGAAGCTTGACTTGAGAACGCTAAATCTGGACTTTTTTAGTCTTTTTAAACTTCTTGTTCATCAAACATTATGCCCAATATCAAATATGCCACTGCGTGCACTTGATATATAGAAATGGCAAGTTATCTAGTAAAATGGCCCCTTTCCTCGTCCCGTCCACTTGAAGCAACTCCTGGGGCCCTGATTGTCCCGCCTGATTGACCAATGCATATTTCTCGCTTAGGTATTTTATTTGTCCACAATAACAATTTGGTGAAAACTTTGCTTGAAGCACGAGTAGCCCATGGAATGTTACCACCTTTCGAAAAGACAAGTTCAAGGTAGGATGTTTCTGAGGGCATTCTCTTTCCTAGCTGAGCGCCCCGTGGCGTACAATTCCCGGATAATCCGTCTCTCTCGTGGTGCTTTCCGTGGTTATCTAACCGATCGACAAACGGTGAGGGTAACCGTTCAGCCGCACAGACTCGCGAGGGCAGGGCGGCGGCCTGACCTTCGGTTTAGTCCGACCGCAACACCTTGAAGTCGTGCCGCGACCATCAACAGTCGGATCAGAACGTTTAACGTACCTACATTTCGAGGAAAGCGGAAAAGCTCTCTTCACACCCGAAAAGGCTCTATCAAGATGCTAAATGCAGCACGAAACTGACCCGATTAGCTTCTGTCAGCTCTATATACAGCTTTCGTTTTCTTGGCATTGCTTCTACGCTAATGCATCTAAAACGCAAAAGCTCGGCTTTGCATATATTTACAATGGATTATCGCCCGTTCAAAGCCGAGCGAGAAGGAATTGGCGTGTGCTTTTCCACTCTCCATATCCATATTCTGTCAATGTTCAGGCCGCCTCCATTCTCACGGAATAAGCTGGATCAACAGTAGGTCACTGGGTACCTAACGGGCGGCCTAGAAGTCCCGCCGAGTGCTGAGTGCTGAGTGACCTGGCGCGCCGAGGGCGTCGGCCTCGCGCGCATAATGCGTGAGGTGCCCGGCTGTGCGCACGTGCAGTGGCAGTGGTGGCGGCGGTGGAGCGCGTGTTGCCAGGTGGGCGCGCGGTGGCGGGGGAGGGGTGCTGGTGACGCTGGGGAGGGGCGCAGGGACGGTGGGGATGGAGATTGAGCCGTGCACATCCACGGCCCACGCGCCGCCCCTCTTTTGTGAGCAGTGCCGCGGGATAATCGCCGTGTACGAGAGCGAACGTCGGTCTGCGGAAACGGTGACACTATGCCGAGAACGCTGAACTCGAGCTGGATGCAGGGACTGAATCGGCACTTGTAGGCACCTGTTGAACAGGTATCATGCGTTGACCCTCTTATTATTAGACATCTGTTCATATTGAACCTATGTAAATCATCTATGCGAACTGTCAATAATGTAGGAGCCGCTAGCTATAGTCATTAGTCATTACCTTTGTGCAGATGATCCGCAATTTGAGTACGTCGGGGACTTCCCAGCAATGGCATCAGACGCTGTCCGTCCCACCAGAAACCCGTCTCGACGATACCAGTGGTCGGTTATAGCGGCGAGTGGGACCACGACCCGTCTCGGCGATACGCAGTGCGTGGATATAGAGGCGGGTGGGTCCAAGAGGCCCATTTATTTACAATATGTAATATTATTTTAAAATATTGTATTGTAAAATTGCATTGTATATTACATATAATATAAAATATCATTTATCTAATTATTTATATAATACATTGCCCACGAGACGTGTGATCATCGGACAGTGGGAACTTAGAAGGTAAGGCTTCACGTCTTGGTCACTCAAAACACATCCATGTAAGCAATGTTTTACAAATAATAAAGTGAACTGGGGACAATTTTAAGTTTAGGTCAATGCTTCGGTTAACGACCCAGTAAACGCGGGACAGTATCATATAATATGTGTTCACTAGAAATTGAGACAAAGTTTAACGGACTGTATCTTCAGTAAAAATGTACCGATTTAAACAAACGAGGCATTATTGTAAAGCGCATTGCACCTGCTGCAAGCTGTAGAGCGTCAACAGATTTGCCTAATCCCCATATGTCTCTTTTTGGACATTTGCTTGGAAGTGTTTTCACATGCTCTGGCACCAGTGGGCCGTGAATTTGGCCAATTCATGGCCGTAACGAAAAACCAGTTGATATTTTCTATGAAATTTAAAGACACCAACATACGTTATAGCCTTCGGCAAAACACATTTCATACTCATTTCTTAAATTTCAGGCGTGGCAAACGGCTTATTGGGCCTCGTTCCAAGTGGAATTTTTACATCGGCCGGGGTCCTCAAGGCGCCCCTTGGTTAGTGTGCTGGCGCGAGGTCGGACCAGAAAACCACCTTCTGGTTACATATGTTGTTCTGCATGAACTTCTAGTACTAAATAATACATTTGGCTCCGAAAGTATCATATTATATAGGACCAGCCTGGAGGAATGAAGTCCAACTGTTGATATGCTTTGAAATGACACATACACCATGGCATCCAGCGTAAGCTTGCATACTGACACTTAAATGGACGTTAGCTCTTGTGTCATCGATAGCATCACTACAGAACACTCCATTGTCTAGTTAATTGCCGCCCTTTAACTAAAAACATAACTTTTCTTCCTTATATAGTTCGACCTTTTTCTGAACTTTTTGGCCCTTTCTTGACCATTGCATATTTACGTCTATTGCCTAATGCTGTTCCCGGTCGCTTCGAGAAATCATTTACGCCGTTTGTAACTCAGCCTAGCCTCAGGTGTGTTATATCTTCTTCGTGTTGGTACAACTGATACCTTACTGATCAGCAGCATTGCGCCGTGAGGTGCCAAAAAGCCCCTCCACGTGCATTTTCGGGGCCCCGACCTTTCCCCAGGTCAATATCTTCACAATAACACCACTTCAGCTTTTCGGACTCCCACACCCACATAGAACTTTCTTTCCACCATGCGGTATGTAACTAAGTTCGACATTATAAGTTTTCATCAGGTATTTGTACGTCCGAGACTCTCCCATTGACGCACTATTTTGGGAAAGCCTGCCAATGGGCTTCCGGTGGTCCTTATTTAAAGCGACCTCCTACGCGACTGTTTTGATCATATCCGTGAAATTTTATGCTCCATATGATGAGAAATGTTCCTTTTATCTCTATGGTAAGTTGCATCGAAATAGCTTGCTTCGCTTTTGGTGTGCAGTTATTCAAAGTTTGTGTCAATTTTTAGTGAACACCCTATAGAGACCTGTGTAACTACCTATGTACTAGTTACGTAGTGGTGACAGTTTCAGAAAGTGCATGTCCAATGTCCGTCTAAATTCCGGAATTTTTTGTCGACTGTCTGTCCAAAAATGTGAAACCCAGCCATTTGTCCAAAAATGTCCGAAAACTACGCAATGATCTACACTCAGCACTGTTGCTTTATTTACTGTGTGCTTTTACCAGACCAGTGCAGAAGTGTTTACCATATCGAGAGCTGAGCGATTGGCACCACATAATGGTTACTGTGCCGAGCCGCGTCGTGCAATAAGGGCCACTACCATATCCAGAGGTATGCATAATGCATATTTGAACTACTGCACCGAGCGGCGGCGTGCAGTGCGGCACAGTAATAGTATCATATGCCGAAGTTTAGTATACTGTGCCGCAGGGCACATGGGTCGCTAGCATCACAACACTTACCTACGTCTGGGGCGCAGGAAGAGATGAGCAATTGTTGACGGATCATATTCACATGCGTCGGGGGCGTCAGGAAAATCTGGGGCGAGGTTGGCGAGCAGGGATACAAGTTCAGCAAGTAACGGATTGGTGCTAAGAAAACAGAGCTTGGGGACGTTCAGTGGGACCGGGAAGTCGGGGTGTCGACGGACAGAGAAACGAATACCTATACGACTACGAGTGATTTACATAGACATCGGAAGAAATGGTTCAGCCGCAGTGCAGAAAAACAGTGAACTTGCGCATATTGAATACAGAAACTGTTCACTCACTGAAACTTTGGGTATATGCGTCTCCCTGAAACATTAGATTGAGTTGATACAGACACCGGCTCATTAGGACGTCTCATAAAACGGTGTCAAATAAATTTAGTTCATTTGCATGCATCTTTTTGCCTCGACACATTCTGACGATACGTCTTTCCAGCATCCATATTAGCCTGAGCTTCAAACCTCATATGGTCCGCCGCTGCTGTGATCTCGGCCCCAGAGGCGGACACTACTGCGCATTAGCGTCCTCGCGGTCTCCGCAGTGGCGCCGGAATGGTATGGCCGCCGGGTGACTGCGCCAGGATTGTATGGAAGCCGCGGCTGACGACAGTGTTCGAATTTCCATCACCTGTCGCCGGGTTCCGTATCGCAGCGTGAGAACGAGGCTCCGGTGGCCGCGGGCGGGCGCTCCCCCGTTCGCCGCGGGCAGCCGCGGGCACGCGAGGAATACCAATATCACGAGGCTGGGTGGTTTATGGGCAGCCGACACGACATGAGGCGTCGCTTAGCGCGACCAACCATCATCAGCAGGCTTTCAACGCAGCTGTCCGCCACACTTTCCTCCAAACGTGCCGTGAAAACGAATTCATCTTTTCAAGTCTGTCCGTCCCGGCTGCAGCTGTTTTTATGGTGGTTGAGGTTCCCTTCAGCCGGCTGTGACTGACTGTGGACGAGTCCAAGTTACCTGGATCGTCTCTTCTTAGAGTCTTCCCTCTGTGCCCTGGTCGGCGACATAAGTTTAAACGGCCCGACATACCGCCTGTATCCGTGCGCGGTACCGCGGTACCGCGGCCACCCGGTACCGAGGACAACCCTCGAGGTCGTAGAAAACCGGGGCCCCGGTGTCCCACATGTGCCTCAGGACACCCCAATGTCTCACCTGTGTGCTTAGAATATCTCGGTTTCCCATCTGTGTCCTTACATTCGGTGTCTCGTATGTCCGTAGAACTGACCATTGCCCTGCACCTGTGTCCTTAGAGCAGCCTGATACCTCACCTGTGTCCGTAGGACACCCCAGTGTCCCACCTGTGTCCTTAGGACACCCCAGTGTCCCACCTGTGTCCGTGCAGGGCACCGGGGCACCTCAGCGCACCGCCGACACATTTGGCTCGCTCAGTCGGATAAATTACCGCGGTCTGAGGCGGCGGCTGCCGCGGCTGGTCGCCCCTCTGATTGGTGCCGGTCCTCTCCGGGCGGCCGGCCGTCGCTCCGCCGCGCCGCCGCGCGGCCGTCAGTAGGCGCCGGGCGGTCGGTGAGGGTTGTGGTGCGGGAGCGGAGCGCTGTTCCGAGTCCCTCGACACCGCAGGCAGCTCCGAGTCCCTCGACACTGAACGGGGAGCGGGGCGTGACGACAGTTCCAGTCCGGCGACACTGCAGGTGAGCGCCGGCCACCGAGGCAGCGCCGAGTGGAGCCTGTCTGCGCAGGTGGAACGTTCATCAAACAGGCAACAGTTTTATTGCCCCATGTGCTTACTGTGTGTCGAGACATTTTACTTTTAGGATGAACGAGACTTTTTTCTTGTCCTATTGATGCCTACTGAGCAGACAAACAGCCAATCATCTTTAGATGATTCAGATGCGAATTTCCCTCAAATTCTTGCTGCCTACATGCCTATGCGTAAGTGCCTTGTACGCAAAAAGCATTTCCAGGCTCCTGCTTTTCCTATAACCGAGTTAATGGGATTCGAGTTCGAATTACGTGCTCCATTAGTTCGGTTCACGTGCAACTGTGCATTGCAGCGCTATTTGGTCGCGTGTCTGGGCTCCTCTGTGCCATGCGCCCTACATGCCTAGTGCACTGCCCTGTGCACAGGGTGCGAGCCAGGGCCTATTGTGCCCCAGCGTGTGGCTATATAGTAACAATAGCGCTAAATCTGTTGGAGCCTCTGCGCCCCTGGCATTGTGATGTTGACAGCTGCCTTTGGTTTGGAGCGTAGTTCCGACGCGTGGTTCAACGGCACAATAGCACGATATGCTGCGTGGTACCGACTAATCTGATTGAGGCATGCAGTACCTGATATATGCGTCTGCATAATGTCTGGTGCTTATATTCAGACTGAGATTTGGAACTGACTGCTCTAATGGTCTACGCTGAATTCAATAGTAAACGAAAAATTACGTTTACTTGTAAATTGCAATGCCGTAAAGGTGCTGATATCAAAATAAGCTATTGCTACACGCAGATGCGCGTGCAAGCAATTTTATCGAGGCAGAATAGTTCAGCGTGGTCTAGCTTAATGTCGTCGGCTAATGGACATCTTTTTCATTTTCGTTAACTGACATTCCTAGAAGTGATGGTTTCCGCTTCAAACTAGTTTTTACTTCCTGTTTAACGTCTATCTATGTCACTATAAGAGGGGAATAGAGCTGCCACATGTTACATATGCATGCCTTTATCGATACGACTTCTTATAAAGCGTTCGTGGCGCCACTGCACCCTAACGCCAAACTTGTCTCATCGTCAAACTTTAAAAAAAAAAAACATTGGATAGCTCACTTTTTGAACGGAGGATTGTCGAATGTATCTATTAATGAGCCCCCAGAGTGGCATGCCCATGCCCTTGTCTGGCCGGTCCGGTTAATTATGATAGTCGGTGAACCGAGGGCGCGGCCGGAACGCCTGATCAAAGGCAGTGCCGGCGCAGTTCGGACCGAGACGCCTCCGGCGGTACAGTGGTGGTGTGGCCCCAGTCGTTACCCATCCCTGACGCATGAACAGAGGGGCAGTTTCTAACCACGCGCACCGCCAGCTTCGAGCTCATCAGTCATCAATAATCAGACATGATTGAGTTTTATTCACGATCGATGGCAACACAAGTCAAATTCCTAAAACCAATTCCTAAAACCAATTCCAAAACCAAACCAAAATTCCTAAAATTCCTGGTTTTAGGAATTTGACTTAAGTGTTGCCATCGATCGTGAATAAAACTTTATCAGTCATCGAATGGAAATATGACGACTCAATTTATTGCCTAAGAGAACAATGCACTCCTATCTTCGGAGACACACTGCTAGTAATCATGAGAAGTGATCAGATTGTTAAATTCGAAAATTGGAACGAGGGGTTAAAAGTTTAAATGTGACGAGTCTCAGTGATGGACCATAAGTATAGTTAGGAAAGATTGATTCATGAGCATCATACTGCGTTCACTAGTACACATTCATAGGCCATTGGCGGCTGTTACAGCTCTTTAACATTGTTGAATTTTAGGTTCTTTTTTCTTTCCGCTTTGCTGGTCGTGGGTTTTCTATCTTCTTTGACGCTTGCGCACTTCGTCAAAGCTGGTTTGCGAACAGAGGAACAAACACGATTACAAGCTTGAAAGCTTTGTCAGCCGCCCTCGCTAGTTCTGAATCACATCGAAGCGTAGGCGGCCGCGCTGAAGTTGAAAACCGGCCCAAGAATGAGATTCAAACACTACCAAGCCTCACAACTACAGCAGTGAGTGCGATAAACATCGCAACCGTTCGGCCTCGGTAGCTGGTCAAACCAGCGGCTCCACCGCGATCCTTCGAGGGCGGCAGACGAACGTGTTGGGTCCCCGCTTCACCGCCGTCCCGCACCGTGTTTGCGGCTGGTCCGTCCGGCCCGTCACAGCACAAAAACGGCACCTGTGCGGGGGGCGGCCGGCGGTATATACACCGTGTCCCGCCCGGCTGCCGGGTGGGGGCCGACCTTGTCTGCTATGTCCTCAGCTGCTCGCCGTATTGTCTGCTATGTCCTCAGCTGCTCGCCGTATTGTCTGCTATGTCCTCAGCTGCTCGCCGTATTGTCTGCTATGTCCTCAGCTGCTCGCCGTATTGTCTGCTATGTCCTCAGCTGCTCGCCGTATTGTCTGCTATGTCCTCAGCTGCTCGCCGTACTGTCTGCTATGTCCTCAGCTGCTCGCCGTATCGTCTGCTATGTCCTCTGCAGATGCCCGCCGTATTGTCTGCTATGTCCTCAGCTGCCCGCCGTATTGTCTGCTATGTCCTCAGCTGCTCGCCGTATTGTCTGCTATGTCCTCTGCAGATGCTCGCCGTATTGTCTGCTATGTCCTCAGCTGCTCGCCGTAAGTTCGGCGCGCCCATTCCACTGTCCACCGCGCGGCAATCGCGGTCCATGCAGTCCACTGTCCACTCCGGTGCTTTGGCAGTCGCGCCGCCTCTCAGAGAAAGTGGCACTATCTGCTCCCGGAATCACTGTGCCCTGGGCGGGACAGGACCGGCACCGCCCTGAGCACAGTCTCAGAGGGCCAGGACATCCCCTCTAACAGCGGGTCCATTCGTATAGACTCGGTCCGTCCGCGCAGACAGCGAGTTCGTCCATACAGACAGCGAGTCCGTCCATAAGACAGCGAGCCCGCCCGGCCAGATAGCGGGTCCATTTGCCCAGACAGCGGGTCCATTTGCCCAGACAACGGGGCCGCGGAGCCTCGGCTGTGGCGACGGAAGGAAGTCGGCCGCGGGGTCAGCTCGCTCGTGTATTGTTTTCTTCACGCCAGCCGTGAAGGAATGCGCCCAAAGTCGGGACGGGCTGGCCTCTCGGCTGGTCGGGGAGAGGCAGCGCCGGCCCTACTGCGCAGTGGCCGGGGCCGGGCCACGTTTGGAGCTGCGCCACCGGCCGGGGTCGGCGCTGGGGTCGGGTCGGGTCGGCGCCTGTCCTCCGGAGCCGACAGACCGTGGCGACACTATAGTGACAAGTGGTGCCAGGGAACTGCGCCTGTAAACCGAGATATCGTAGCTTTGGACCGAAGTACTAGCGTTATCTCCTTGGAGCAGCTCTAATTTCCAAGTAAAGTTAATTAGCAGTGATATTGTTTGCCAGACGTCTTTGAAACACCATTATGAACAATTTGAGTATAATAAAACATCAAGTCACCTAACTTGAAAGGCAAAGCTTGTATTGCTGTGTACGAACAATGAAAATTGAAAATATTGAACTGTGCGTGGGCGCTCACGGAAGGACAGAGACAGCCTAACCCCAGTTCACTGGTGCGTTTGTTTGATTTGATCGTCAGTGACCATGGCCACTTCGCAAATTGGTCACTTTAATTCAACAGCGCATCATGTACTAAAAATCTTTTTTTTTCCTTTGCTACGCTGAGGCACAAAATGTGCTGTACTGTTTATTATAGTAACTAATTGGACGACTACTATAGTGCCTAGTCGACATCATGTACTGTTCTGTTGCCTTTATTCGACCATTTAAAATCAACTCATTTGCAAGCTACAGCTAATATCTCGACGTGTATCCTGGCCCGTCCGCTGCATGACCCGCTCAAAAATGTCTTTTTTTATTATACTACCACAGTTTTTCCTCTTTGAACATCATGGGATTCCCTCTTTCACAGCCTTCGTTCAGTTTCAGGAACTGCCTGGCTTATCTCCGCGTCTAGGCGTCTTTAATGGTAGACTTGTATTTATTTCATTCCAGGAATGGAATGGGGGAATTCCACCCGGCTGAATGTCCCGATGGCTTCATCTTCTATCAGTTGACATGGGTCATGTTCAGAGTACCGTTATTGGATCTAACAAACGACCCGCTCTCTGATTAATAAAAAGTCGCGCTCTATATTAGCATTCACCTAAGCATATCTGTCGGACTGTGAACAGTTATTTCATGACCCGCGGGCCTGTCCTCTAATTATAATTGTACCAGAAAGTGCAGGACGGTTTCGAAGTCGCCGGTATTCTCCGAACCAAAGGCGGCGGAGATTCGTTCACGGTTCCCTTTAGTGTCCTCTGTGGAGATAATTGGATGGCTTTGGGGAATTGGTATGCGGCATTTGGTATCGCGAGCGCGGTCCGAGAATATCGATCGGCAAAGCTTCACCAAATATCGAGAGACTCGCTTGATATATAGCTATGAGAATAAAAGTGAAAATCCGTCGTCTAAACCGATATCCATAAAACAAAAAGACCACAAGTTTGTTGATGCTCGTCACTTGTCAGAATTAATGACTTGAGGCTTTCGTACTATTTGAAACTAGAATATATTTATAAGTTGAACATTTTATTGTTCTTTTTTCAGCTGAACACACTTAGACATGTGTATCACCAGCTACCCCAGTTAAACACTTTCTCATACTATTGAAGTATATAAGCGGTCATGACGGGAAAATGCTATTTAGCTATTCAAGTGGTCATGACGGGGAACATGCTCTTTAGCACCTACTCATTTGAGTTTACTACCGCTCAAACATGATAGGGAAGGTGGTTTCACTATGCACAAAAATAGCGATTAGACTAGTGGAACCAATTGTGCATACCTGAGCAGGTCGCTGAGCAACAAAAAGTGTTAACTGACGTAACAAAATGGATAGCTTTAATCGGGAGGGCTGAATGCTAAGCAGTTTCTGTCCGACCGTCTATTAATGGGTGACGGATCATCAGCA